CTGAAGCATGTGTGACTCTTCAGATACTCAAATCAACACATATGTCCAAATGCGGTAGTATGTTCAGGATAGGTATATACCTTAAAACCAAACAACAGCAACCACCCCAAAACAACACCAACAGGAACTCCTACAAGGTAGTAGCTACCTATATTTATAGTAGCTACTATTGCTTGCCAACCAGATCCGACTGCTACGCCTGTAGAGCAACATACGACCACAAATGCTTCGGTCAGAGACTAGACATGAATTTCAAACCACGGAAATCTATATATACTGCTTCTTTCTAGTTTCTCACCTGAGAGCACTGGTTGAATGCAATTAAGGAGAATGGTAAATGCCAACAAGACTGATAAGTCATTGACCATTGTGATAACAGGACTACTTGAGGTAAAGATCATTGCAAGCTTCTCATTAAAGGCTATAATTATTAACCACAATAGAAGTCCCACAGCTAGGGAGGTTAAGACTGCAACAGTGGTTGCAAATTTTGCAGCTTTTGTATTGCCAGCACCAAGTTCATTTGCTACGCGCACTCTGGAACAATAAGGGAAAAGTAATTTAGATTTCTTGCATGGGTGCAATAATATGTAAAAGAAACATGTAAATATGCAGGTTTATATTCTAATATAACTGTTCTGATAATCATAAAGGTTCTTTTAGTAGATCATAATGACATTATCAATCAGGAAAGTACCAGTGTAGTGTCAGAGTTGCTAAGAAAAACTTCATGTATAACATTATTTGCTTGATACTCTTGTTCCGAAAGTGTAAAGTGAAAGGCAGTAAATCCTATCTGGAACATTCAAAATATTATGAGGCCAAATGCAGACCACAGAAAAGTACACACAGATCCATCTCATCCACTTCCATAGCTTTTAACTAAATCCCAAGTCCAAAGAGACTTACAACCAGTAACATACCCAGTTGCCGCCAAAAATCCCAGCGGAATCATGGATTCCCAAGCATAGATAGTCATGCTGCAAAAAGAGAATAATGGAATTTACAGAAAAGTAATACACAATTAGTATTGTATATTGATTTAAACAATAAAAAAATAATTTGAAGCACGTTATAGAAAGTTAGAAACACTAACCAGATGGAAAGGGCATCAACTGCAACCTCAGTATTGTTGAAATATCCAGAAACTATCACCAAAACTCTATAATAGAAATTCTCCAACCTGAAACATAGCATGCATATATTTAAATTCAACCAGTTATTACCTGCATATAGAGAGAGAGAGAGAGAGAGAGAGAGAGAGAGAGAGAGAGAGAGAGAGCACATACAAGAGCATGACCCCAGAAGCCAGAGACAGCTTAAAGAAATCCCAGAGCCCAAAAAACGCTTGAGTTGAAAAACCAGTCCAAGTTTCAGAGCATCCACCAGAAACAGTGTATGCAAAAAATGCCACAACCGATGCCCACCAAGCAAAACCAATGGTAAGAGTAGTCCCCACGATCCCAATCCCCAGCTTGTATACAAAAAACCAACTCACAAACACATGGAGTGCCAAAACCCCTCCACACACCCAAGCTATTACCCCCATCTTCAGCTGGCTCTGCAAGAATCTCTGCAAGGTCAGCTGAAATGGGAAGCTCAAGTGAAACGGAATCGACCACAACGCCACCAAACCAGTCCGCTCGGCCACCGCCTCCGACTGTCCCATGAGCTTCAACAATGGCGTAGCGAACACAAACAAGGGCAATAGCAACAAAGAGCAGAGAAACAAAACTACCCAAGAACGCTGCAAGTATATGCCCAACATATGGTACTGCTTAGCGCCATAGGCCTGGCCGCACAATGTCTCAAGCGCACTTGCCATGCCTAGCTAGACAAAACCCAACAAACCCAACAAACCCAACAAAGCAAAACATATTTAAACAAACAAAAATGCGAAATTGGGTTCTGATATTTTACATTTGTAGCATTAAGTGGCGTTACCATGAACCCGAAGGTGATGGCGATGATGACGGTGTTGACGATGGAGATGGCGGCGAGGTCGAGGCCACTGAGGTGGCCGGCGAAGGACTGGGTGATGACGGTGACGGAGAACAGGGCAATGCGGCTGAAGATGGACGGGGCTGCTACTTGCCATAGCCTCTTTGACTCCAGCCATGTCCGTTCAGTGGCGGATCCAGGATTATGTGGCCAAGGGGGCTTAGTGTAAAAGTTCCAAAATTTTTCTCACTGACGACACTTCCATTTACACCAGCATTCTTGGCAATTAACTTCAGGGGGTAACTAAGAGCTCTTTTAACTATATCTGCTCCAACCTGTAATTTACCATATGGTTCGAGCCTTGAGCAGACCAAATAAATCTAAAGTAAAAAAAAAATATATATATATCCTGCATATCCAATAATCAATAAAATTTCTGCCATTGTCAGAATCTTCTGTTGACAAAACTCAAAAGATTGAGGGAGTTCAATAAGCAATAGATAAGTTACCTTTTCTTCATCATTATCAAGAGTATCCTTGATTGCATCAACCTTTGATGCCAACCTCAGAAGGGTGCATCCACCTCCAACAACAATACCTTCCTCAACAACTGCCTGGACAATTACAATTTTTTTAAATTTCTGCTGGTTTCTTTAATGTGCAAAAGACCAGATGAAACAAAACTTAACAGGGATATAATTTACAAAGATTGAGTGTTGTGAATTGTTTTACCTTTGTTGCATTCAGAGCATCTTCGACTCTCAGTTTCTTTTCTTTCAGCTCTGTCTCAGTTTGTGCTCCAACCTTCGAACATTCAAGAAAAAGTTAATACAAATGAATTCCCATTGGTACTACATTGTAATCCAAATCATCTACAAGTATTTAGAAACCAACCTGAATTACAGCAACACCACCGGATAGTTTTGCAATCCTTTCATTAAGTTTTTCTCTTTCATAGTCCTGCTCTGCCGCCTGCATATATAGTTTAACTTATTAAGGCTATAAGACTATGACAACAAAGAATTACAAACAACTTCTGTAAGCAATTGTGGATGTGAAGGTGAGAAAGAGGGTTTCACCTCAATAAGGTTCTTAATTTGGGCAACTCGCTTGTTAACAGCTTCCTGGGTACTTCCATCACCAACAATCGTGGAGGTATCCTTTGTAAGCACCACTTTCGAAGCATGGCCAAGGACCTCCTTTCCAACATTCCAACATTGTCTAATGTGAGGGTTTGATAGGGTTGGACTTCGAGCTGTGAAATTTGGGGAATGAAGGGTTTGGAGAGGTGCTGTGCAGCAGAGGGATCGGGTAAGAGAGCTGCTGTTCCTTTTTTTTATATAAAAAACCTGGCCCAAAACGACGTCGTTTTGAGGCCAGGTCAATTAAAAAAATTTGACTGAGCCTGGACCAAACGACGTCGTTTGGCAAGGCTCATTTTGAAAAAAAAAATGACGCGCAGCCCAGCTGCGCAGCAGCAGAGGAGGTTTCGCCTGGGACTTCCATCAAGCAGTTGGTGTGCATACAAGGGGGCTTCTACCAGCAGTCCAAGGGGGCTTTCATGGATTCCCTTCCCAAATTTCCAGCCTTCCAAGGGGGCGTATGACCCCTCTTGTCCCAACGTCGGTCCGCCCCTGCACCCACCACATGTTTTGTCATTGCTCTTACTAAATGCCCTAGATGATAACGTACTACCACCCCAAAATTTGATATTTAAAATCTAAAATCTAAGCGATTTACTAATTCGAGACTGAAAACCTAAACTCTGGGTTCTAAATGGCGATTCTGCACCACAAACAACTAACCATGTCAATAAATCGAGTGCAAACTAAATAAAATTAAGTAGAAGTGAAATTTTCTCAATGTGTCCCGCACAGAAATGAACTCAATACATATCAATTATAGGGCTTAATGTAAATCCTAATTATAGTTTTCCTCTTTCCGTATAAGCCAAACGCAAACCCTTTATAATATAAGTAATATATTTCGGAGGGTGCTCCTCTCCCTTAACGTAGCCGACCCATTAAGTTATGCCACGTGTTAGATTAATTAAACGATGGTTAACTTGCCTAATCCACATGTGCTAATATATAAAAATTAATAATCAATTAGCCTAACATGCATAGTTAATTCTTTATTGTGTATTTGTGGAACCATAATTATGTTCATAAACATGTATCAAGTATTGAAAAAGATAATAATTATATACCTTGGATTAAAGTGATCATATAATATATGATAATTAAGGAGGGAATAGTGAGGCTACACTAGAGTTAGGTAGTGTTGCTTTCATGAGTTTAAAATATCCAGTCCTTAATTATTTAACTAGAGAGCATCCCACCTGTCATGCCATGCATGTGTTTTAAATTATTGCATGTCTCACATCTCACGGAAAAGGAAGACCTAACATCAGTGGCGGAGCCACCAACAGGTTTGGAGGTCCTTGTTTCTTGGTGGTGCGCCCCATAAGTTGCACAGAAGCTGTTCGATAAAAGACCTAACATAACACCCAAAACTCCATCACATCTTCAACACTATCAGCACAAAAATATAATGGATTGATTGCATATTATTTACTCAGTGGCAGAGCCACCTAAAGATCAGGGTAAATGGTCAATAAAAATTCAATTCAACACATAAGTTTAATGAAAATTATTAAAAGTTACTTATCAAATGTTAGACAATAAAATATTAAAATGCATAAAGTCCAAGGGCATATATAAACGTCTAAGCAAATCTATATATATAAAGCAAAAAAACAGAGAATGGTGAAACATTCAAAATACCAAAAAATGTCCTTTGGTTAAAGCAAACATTAAGTGCCCGTTTGGCATTGCTTATTTGGGGTGATAAGTGATTTTAAAAAAAATTTGGGAAGCCCAACCCGTTTGGTAAACTGTGAGAAAATCACTTATTGTTAAAAATTGCTGTGAGAGAAAGCTATAAGGGAAAGCAGCTAATGAGGTGCTGTCATTTTCTGATTATGCAGAAATCAGTTTCGAAGAGGAGATGGGTTTAATGATTATGCAACAATTATTTTCTAATTTTGTTGAAATCAATATCAACAACACTTTTAACAAAAAATTTACCAAACGCCAAACTGCTTTCTCTTACAGCTGATTTCTCTCACAGCAAATCTAACAGCGATTATTTTCATAGCACAGCAATGCCAAACTGGCCCAGTGCCCATTTGGCATTGCTTATTTGGGGTTATAAGTGATTTTTTAAAAATTTTGGGAAGTCCAGCCCGTTTGGTAAACTGTGAGAAAATCACTTATTGTTAAAAATTGCTGTGAGAGAAAGCTATAAAATTTACCAAACGCCAAACTGCTTTCTCTCACAGTTGATTTCTCTCACAGCAAATTTGACAGCGATTATTTTCACAGCACAGCAATGCCAAACTGGCCCTAAGAATTAAAATTATTAATTAAATGAGGATAATATGGTAAATTCACACTTTTTCATATTTAAAAAAATTAAAATTAAAAGAAAAATCAGATAATGGCCTATTTTTATGGAACACAACTACCCATTATCTTTTTTAATTCTAAAATAAAATTTATTTTATTTTAAAAAAGCCTCTCGCATACGCGGAAGCGCGTGAGGAGAGAATAGTAAATTAGTAAATGATGTTTCATACGCAATTACATTATTGTGATCTATGTACAGTTTTGTACAAGAAACCGTCCACAAATGGGAAAGCAAGTAATAACTATAATTCTACAAGGTGAGACCTGCCAAAAAGAATCCCAGCCGTTGAATTAACGTATTATAATCCGACGAATGCAATGAGTTTGATATGCACACCTATAAGATTGTGCTCAAGATATTTGTCAATTCGTGTCTAAGCTGAAGTTCATCTTCACCATTTAGGAATATAGGGAGCCACTTAGCAGACTGTTTGGGAATGCGTTTGAGATTGTCTTTGTGGTCAACGTAATAAAGCCCGAACTTTTGAGTATAACCCATCCCCCATTCAAAATTATCAAATGGGGTCCAATAAAAATACCCCTTTACATTCACACCCTTCTCCATTGCCTTGTTGATCCAGAATAAATGCCTAAGAACACTTTGAATTCTATGAGGATCCCTTAGTGCTCCATCAAGCCCATTCTCCTCTTCCTCCACCTCACTAATTCCGTTTTCAGAAATGTAAATCTTAGGGTTTTGGTAGTTTTGCTTCATGAACACCAAAAGTTTCTCCAAACCTTGTGGATAACTATAGATCATGAAGCTTCCTTTAGCCAGAGGACCAATTTGATCTCCATCTATATTTTCAACCAATGACAAAGCCAAAGCATCGTTGCGGTAGCACATTGCCTTGTTTGGACTTATTGGGTCGTGTTTAGCATACCTTGCGGTATAATAATTGATCCCAATAAAATCAAAGGATCCCTTGATCAATTTCTTCTCTTCCTTGGTGAATTTGGGTAGCCTTTCCTTCACCAAAACTCTCATACTCTCTGGATATTCGCCCGACACCAATGGTTCCATGTACCATCCAAGTTGAAAGTCCAAAACTCTTTTTGCTGCTGCTCTGTCTAGGAGTGATTCTGAATGAGGCTCAGCATATTGCCCTACAAGACTAATTCCAATTTGACCACCTTGATTTTCTTGAAACTTTTCTCTGTAGAGCTTAACCGCTGTGGCATGCGCAAGAAGAAGGTTATGGGTCACAATGTAAGGCTCAGTAGAAGAATTCCCACTTGTACATGGAAATAAGGATGGTACAGAACACCTCCCGGGTGGAGCAACCCCGCTATCATACCCCATTTCTGCGATAATATACGGTTCATTGATTGTAATCCAATTCTTGACCCTAACTCCAAATGTTTTAAAACAAATTTCACAATAGTCCTTGAAATCGTTCACAATTGAGCGATTCAAGAAGCCTCCATACTTGTCCTCCAAGGCTTGTGGTGCATCAAAGTGGTATATGGTCACATAGGGTGTGAGGCCATTTTTGATTACTTCATCAATCAGGTTATTGTAGTAATCAATACCCTCTTGGTTTATTCCTCCACTCAAGGTTCCGTTAGGAAGAATCCTAGTCCAGGAGATGGAGAATCTGTACGAATCGACTCCGAGGTCCTTCACAGCCTTCACATCTTCCTTGTATCGTTTATACGAATCGATGGCTGTCAACAAGTTAGAGTGGTCATATATTATTTCTGGATTTTTCTCAATGAAGTGGTCCCAAACACTTGGTCCTCTTCCTCCTTCTTTTGTAGAGCCTTCTATTTGTGCAGCAGAAGTGGAGACTCCAAACGCAAAATCTCTAGGGAAGTGAGACCTCTTGACTTGCAATTCTTTAGGATTCAATGCATTGAGCAAATATTCCTCTAGATCAGCATTCACAGAAACTAATTGTGACAAAAAAGCAATCAAAACAATGGCACACATACCATGTGAAACGCTTAAAAATGGTGGTGAGAATGTCATCACTTTTGATCAATGTTGTGAAACAACCATTTGAAGCAATTGTTACATAGCAACAAGGATACTTCCTCTTTAACAAGAAACAAGACCACAATTTTTGTGCAAAATGAGATCATGTTTTCGATGGATCAGCACTATAATAGGAGGCAGGTATGTGGGCGGTCCTGGGAAATCCTTCGTTAGCTGGGCTGCATGGTGTGCATGGGAGGTGACTAAATTAGGCAATACATATAATGAACCCTTAAATTGATGAGTGGTTTTCAAGACTAAGGGACACTTAATTTCATGGTTAATCTTTCTTCGGCCTCAAACAATCCACATGTTATTAATTAATTGTTGAGCATAAAAGTTCTGCCTCTCGGTAACTAGGTTTCAAATTGGGCTGGGCTGGAGCTTGAGAACTACATTCTCAAATTAGGTAACTACCTCAAACAATCCACTTTACCACAGCCCAGAGCACATGCTGGTCAACCATGGTCGATAAAATCGTTAATCATAATCAAGCAATAAATTAAAAAAATAGTTTTTTTTTATTACAACTGACATGGCCATCAGTAGAAACGATTATTAATCATCCTTCGATCGATGCTTTGTGAATGCTTTGCGTTATGCAAATGCAGAAGAGCAACGAGCGGAATGATTTTAGTGGTCAAACTAATCTCTTTAATTAACTAAGTTATATGTTCCATTAGCTGCCAAATCTGCCATTATAATTTGATTGGTAATTAGGAGTGTATAAGGTTCAATCTAATCCATTCAAACCGAGCAATCCAATTCAATCTAATCTAATTTTAATCGGTTTCAAAGATTTGATGGATTCGATTGGATCCAATCAAGTTAGTTTTATGCTTATTTTGCTCTTGTAGGTATTTTTCATTGAAAATGTTATGAATATTTGAAGTCATTTAATGGAGTTATGTTTAATTTTGAGTGCTGCTAAACGAACCCTAAAATTAACTGAGTACACCCTACTACAAAAATATATATTGAATTACTGATTTACCCTAATATAAAATGACCAAAAAGGATATATGGAATTATGAAACAAATATAATTTTAATAAGTACACCTAATTAACAATATTCAACCCTAATCAAGAGATTACTTGATTCCCATCTTTGTGATCCGCGAGTCAGAATGGCTTGGAGGAGATGAAGCCTTCCTTCTTTCTTCTCAGAACTATTTCTTGGCAACTTGGATTACTTGGTTGCCAACCTTTTGCAATCGTCTTCGTTGTTTCTTTCTTCCTGTTCTTTGTGTTTATGCTCCAACAATCTTTTATCATCCTAATTACCCAATCAGCAATAAGAAAAGAAACCGAATCAAAGTCAAAGTCAAAGTTTCTTTATGAATATGAAAATCAATCTGACTTACCTAGACCCTCTCGGAACAACCAAAAGCATGTCTTTTTTTTTGTGTGGAGCCATGGATAAATCTCCATGCGTTTGTCTCAGCTTTGTGCATGGGTAATTATGATGGCTTTTTGCTCATTTGGCTTCTTCCAACACAAAAAATGTTATGAGATAATTTTGTATTTAATTTCACATTTGTCCTATTGTGTTTTTAACGAAAGAGGTGGTGATTGCAAGAACTTGTAATTGCAAAAAAAGTGTCAACAGTTTTAGTAGAAGCATAAATCCATATGAAAAGTCAAAGATTTATGTCGGGCTTGACTTTATTTGTTGACCGAAGATATACCAAAGGAGCAAGCAAAGCAAACTTGTTTAGTTGAATATATATGGACGTACTCCCAAACAGATGCTCAAGAAAACTTTTATGAGATTAATTTGTTGCAAACTTCATTTTGATCACAATCAAAGACTTATATGGGCACAGTTCTTTTTCATGAAGTTGAGAAATATATAGTTGGAAAAATGTGAACAATATAGATTATAGAGGAAGGATTTGGAAAATGTAAATTCATATTTTCATGAAATTACATATAAAAATGTATACTTTCTTTTTGACAAATTAAAATATTTATAAACTACTTTTACAATGAGTCAATATATTCACAAATATACATCATCATCGCCATTTATGTGAGTCGAATATGAAATATGAGCAAACTAAATTGAGACAAATACCACTAAACCAAAACTAATTATTAGTACAAATATATACTTGACTAACCTCCTCAAATCACATGGGGTTAAGTAAGATATGCGAAGTTATGATGCGATAGCGTCAAGATATGACAATCTGCTGTGGGAAAGGTTGCTAGTTGCTTAACTTATATTATATATTTCATAGAACAGCAATAGAGCACTAGAACGCAAAAATAAAAGAAATTTCCGCCGATGATGAGCTTGCAAAAGTGGATAATTTTTGCTCATTTTCATCACGTGACGTGATTATATATTATAAAGGTGGTTGCCCAATAATGCGTGCTTGGTGGTGGTGAGCATCCAGTGTGGACTCATCCCCCCAAGAAAAAAACCAAAAGAAAAGAGACCAGAAGACTTGTAGGTTTGCAGCCTTTGCATTCAAAAGTCGCTAATCAATATTTCTTTTAGTAATTAATGGCAACTCAAAGAATTTACTTTAGAGCTCTCAAGTTCAATTATTATGTCACTGCCAAAGTTGAAAATATTTTAATAAATTTTTGAAAACTTGCAAGAGCTTCTTACTAGTACAAATATAGGCTGCGTGTCCATTCATTCTATCCATCTGTTGTGTAGCATTTGCTCCAAGAGAGAGTAAGAGAGAGTCATAGGGCACATTTGTTCGAATCCCCCATAACAAGGATGAGTTACCCCTACTACTCTCCTCCACCACCTTCACCACCTCTGCCATGCTCTCCTCCACCACCACCGCCACCTGCCCCATGTAACCCTGTAAGCTCACCACCGCCACCTCATCACCACCACCACCACCATCACCACCATCCAAAATCACCACCAAAACACTACGATAGCCATCCACCGCCACCACCATCACCATCACCACCGCTACCTCCGCCACCTCACCACCACCATGATTATCCAAAGCCACCAACTCCGTCACCACCACACCACCACCATGACTATCCAAAGCCACCACTTCCCTCACCTTGTCCACCACCTCCACCCCCACATCACCATGACTACCCTAAACCTCCAACTTATTCACCACCTCAAGCAGTACCACCCTCAGTTCCAGCACAACCACCAACCAAACATGAGGCTCCACCGCCTCACTCACATGTCTATCCACCAAAACCTTCCTATGGCTCTGCTCCACCACCAAAACCATACCACCACACAGCTCCACCACCTGAACATGTACATCCACCAAAGCCCAGCCCAACTATTCCACCACCACAATCACCTCCCAAAGCTTGTCCACCAAAGAGCAGCCAACCTCCAGTCCACCCTCCAAAGCCATACCCTCCAAAATCATCACCACCAAGCCACCCTCCAAAGCCATACCCTCCCAAATCCTCATAAAAAAAAACCAGAGTTAGGTAGGTTTTATTTATTTTTATTTTTGTCTGTTCTGATAGTGACACTCTGGCCCCAATTAATGCCATGTGGATGTTGAGGGATAATTTGAGTTCTTGCGAAGCCATCATTCATGAACGGCAACCTCAGAAGAAATATTATTCAACAAGTAGTGGATTACTGGATATATGTTAAGCTATCATAAGTAGGCCCAAGCAGTCGCCGTTGAATATCATAATTATATGATTATTCCCATACATATGAACATGTCCAAAACCTCCTACTTGCTGTAATTAAATAAATTCAATAGTGGGTTTAAGTATACGTCTCTTTCATTTTTTTATAAAAAGAGTCCAATGATGTGATGTTTTGATCACAAATGCGTGTACACTTAAGAATTTGAGATCTCAACATTAATTTAGAAGAAGAATGTTAGGTTTTATAGCCACGTATGAGCATTTTCCTGAACTAATTTAGAAATTAATGAATCGCACAAATTACTATACTTTTTTATTAAAGTTCGATTCTCGCCCTCTTCTTTGTCGAATACAGAAAATAACACTCACTTTTTTTAAATTAAAAAAAAGGTAAAAAACACTTAGTTATTATGGACATAACCAAGTCATTAACAGGTACTTAAGGCTAAGATTTGCGTTAATGTGAGCCTAGTGCTACATGTCCTCTATGCCTTCCCTTCAAAGTTCAGCAGTTGACTTCACCTTTATAGTCTTTTTTAGGGTATATGCTATATATTTTAACGTCTCTTTATGTCCTTGTTTTGTCGGGCTTGACTTTATTTGTTGACCGAAGATATACCAAAGGAGCAAGCAAAGCAAACTTGTTTAGTTGAATATATATGGACGTACTCCCAAACAGATGCTCAAGAAAACTTTTATGAGATTAATTTGTTGCAAACTTCATTTTGATCACAATCAAAGACTTATATGGGCACAGTTCTTTTTCATGAAGTTGAGAAATATATAGTTGGAAAAATGTGAACAATATAGATTATAGAGGAAGGATTTGGAAAATGTAAATTCATATTTTCATGAAATTACATATAAAAATGTATACTTTCTTTTTGACAAATTAAAATATTTATAAACTACTTTTACAATGAGTCAATATATTCACAAATATACATCATCATCGCCATTTATGTGAGTCGAATCTGAAATATGAGCAAACTAAATTGAGACAAATACCACTAAACCAAAACTAATTATTAGTACAAATATATACTTGACTAACCTCCTCAAATCACATGGGGTTAAGTAAGATATGCGAAGTTATGATGCGATAGCGTCAAGATATGACAATCTGCTGTGGGAAAGGTTGCTAGTTGCTTAACTTATATTATATATTTCATAGAACAGCAATAGAGCACTAGAACGCAAAAATAAAAGAAATTTCCGCCGATGATGAGCTTGCAAAAGTGGATAATTTTTGCTCATTTTCATCACGTGACGTGATTATATATTATAAAGGTGGTTGCCCAATAATGCGTGCTTGGTGGTGGTGAGCATCCAGTGTGGACTCATCCCCCCAAGAAAAAAACCAAAAGAAAAGAGACCAGAAGACTTGTAGGTTTGCAGCCTTTGCATTCAAAAGTCGCTAATCAATATTTCTTTTAGTAATTAATGGCAACTCAAAGAATTTACTTTAGAGCTCTCAAGTTCAATTATTATGTCACTGCCAAAGTTGAAAATATTTTAATAAATTTTTGAAAACTTGCAAGAGCTTCTTACTAGTACAAATATAGGCTGCGTGTCCATTCATTCTATCCATCTGTTGTGTAGCATTTGCTCCAAGAGAGAGTAAGAGAGAGTCATAGGGCACATTTGTTCGAATCCCCCATAACAAGGATGAGTTACCCCTACTACTCTCCTCCACCACCTTCACCACCTCTGCCATGCTCTCCTCCACCACCACCGCCACCTGCCCCATGTAACCCTGTAAGCTCACCACCGCCACCTCATCACCACCACCACCACCATCACCACCATCCAAAATCACCACCAAAACACTACGATAGCCATCCACCGCCACCACCATCACCATCACCACCGCTACCTCCGCCACCTCACCACCACCATGATTATCCAAAGCCACCAACTCCGTCACCACCACACCACCACCATGACTATCCAAAGCCACCACTTCCCTCACCTTGTCCACCACCTCCACCCCCACATCACCATGACTATCCTAAACCACCACCTCCTTCTCCTGCACCCCCACATCACCATGACTACCCTAAACCTCCAACTTATTCACCACCTCAAGCAGTACCACCCTCAGTTCCAGCACAACCACCAACCAAACATGAGGCTCCACCGCCTCACTCACATGTCTATCCACCAAAACCTTCCTATGGCTCTGCTCCACCACCAAAACCATACCACCACACAGCTCCACCACCTGAACATGTACATCCACCAAAGCCCAGCCCAACTATTCCACCACCACAATCACCTCCCAAAGCTTGTCCACCAAAGAGCAGCCAACCTCCAGTCCACCCTCCAAAGCCATACCCTCCAAAATCATCACCACCAAGCCACCCTCCAAAGCCATACCCTCCCAAATCCTCACCACCAAAAAGTCAACCTCCAGTCCACCCTCCAAAGCCCTACCCTCCCAAATCATCACCGCCACAAAGCAGCCACCCTCCAGTACAACCACCAAAGCCATACCCTCCAAAATCATCACCACCAAAGCCCAGTCACCCTCCAAAGCCTTACCCTCCAAAATCATCACCTCCCAAATCATCGCCCCCCAAAGCATCACCTCCAAAAAGCACCTACCCTCCAAAGGCAGCGCCACCAAAATCCGCATACCCACCTGCATTCCCTCCTGGTTACTACACTCCTCCTACCCCCTTCAACGCGGTCCCGCCTTCATCTGAAATCGTGGCACCGCCACCAGGGAAAAACCACACCACTGTCATCGCGGTGTGCGTCTCCCTGGGTGGTGCCTTCTTCCTTGCCTTCCTCTTACTCGGCCTCTTCTGCGTCGCCAAGAAGAAGAAGAAGAGAGTGATGGTTCCTGCAGCAGTTCCTTGTATTGAGGAAGAAGAACATCAACCAGAAGCAGTGCCAGCCGTAGGAGGAGGCGCATATGGTGCTGCGCCACCTCCAATAGCGGTTCCTGTAGAGCAACACGGATATGGTGGTGGTGGCGGTGCAGCTGAGATCGGGCCTTCTGGGGCGACAGCTTATGCTCCTCCTGGACATCATCCAAGTTATTGATAATGCCACGTCATTCTCGGTTGCAATATTCGTACACGTTCAGTGTGATTTCATTGCATTATTCTTTAGGGTTTGTAATAATGTTTGGTCGATTTGTTGATTATTTTTTTTGGATTGTATTTATTCATGTTGTGTGGATCGTCAAAGGAAAGGAATGTGGTGGCCATTGGCCAGCTAATAAGAAGGGTTATCCTATGATTCTATGAAGGCAAAGGCCAAATTTGTTCATGTAAAGTGCTATATATATTGTGGATTATAATATAAGTTCATTATCAACAATCATTACAGTGACTCAGTGACAGACAAGAAGTGCATGTGTTATTAATTGAAAGGCTTATTATCACAAAACATCCTTGACGTTTGCGAAATTATCACATTGCATCCTAACATTTTTTTGTATCATTAATGATCCCTAACGTTAATACAGGTCCTCTTAAATAGTCTTTCTGTCAAAAAAAACCCTTAAATCCAAGGGTATAATCGTCAAATCAATCCAAAACTATAATTTTTTTTCCTTCCCTTCTCTCTTTCTTCTTTCTCTCCTCCTGGCCCGCTTATTAATTGAAATTACATGCTACACTTGCTTGCTTTCAATTAACTTTAATTTGCACTATTATGTGATTTATACATTTTATGTGTATCATAACACCTACATCGAACATACGTCGCATTTAGGGCCTGTTTGTTAATTCCAAAAACATTTTCAGATAATTGAAAGCATTTTTATATCATTTAGCTGAATTAGACAAAAAGTGTATGTTGAATTTGTACAAGATTTGTACGATTTTATAAAGAAACAACTTATAGATGCTCATAAGATGCTTATTTAAGAAACGCTTCTAAGTAACCGTACGTAATCAGTAGTTGAATTTCAAATAAATTTATTATTTTCTATTGATACAAGCATTACTAACAAAAGTCTTACATATATAAACAATTGTAAACTAATTTATAAGTAGCATAAAATGAGATTGTGAATAACCCCATAGAATAAGATCATAAGCATTAAGATAAAGACAAGAGCAGTTTTCCTGCCAAATTAAATTATTCCTTCGCTGTAATCGATTAAGGCTAAGACAAAAAAAGTAGTTAAAAAGAGCACGTAAATCTGAGGCAAAATATTGTTTTAGGGGATATCACTTGATATTGACAGTCGTAATTGGCGTGGAATTTATTATTATATTTTTACTGGAGATTTGCAAAAGAATATTATAAGTTAATGAAGTTTTTCATTGAAAATTCTCTTGTAATCATAGCTTTAGGCGGCTTAATGTATACAGTTAAAAAATAAAAGATAAAACTAAGAAAAGGATAATATGCCTGCACAGCTAGATATCGAGATGTCCAGACAGAATTTGGTAAGATCATGTCAAAAAAAGTCCGGTTCTTTTTCTAAGTACGGCTTTTTTTTTTTTAAACTCTCTCATGAGCACATTTGACGTACATACATGCACTTGACTTTTCTTTTAAGATTTTTTTATTGAAATTACATGGTACACTTGCTTGCTTTCAATTAACTTTAATTTGCACTATTATGTGATTTATACATTTTATGTAACACCTACATCGAACATACGTCGCATTTAGGGCCTATTTGTTAATTCCAAAAACACTTTCAGATAATTGAAAGCATTTTCATATCATTTAGCTGAATTAGACAAAAAGTGTCTGTTGAATTTGTACAAGTGTTCGTACGATTTTATAAAGAAACAACCTATAGATGCTCATAAGATGCTTCTTTAAGAAACGCTTCTAAGTAACCGTACGTAATCAGTAGTTGAATTTCAAATAAATTTATTATTTTCTATTGATACAAGCATTACTAACAAAAGTCTTACATATATAAACAATTGTAAACTAATTTATAAGTAGCATAAAATGAGATTGTGAATAACCCCATAGAATAAGATCATAAGCATTAAGATAAAGACAAGAGCAGTTTTCCTGCCAAATTAAATTATTCCTTCGCTGTAATCGATTAAGGCTAAGACAAAAAAAGTAGTTAAAAAGAGCACGTAAATCTGAGGCAAAATATTGTTTTAGGGGATATCACTTGATATTGACAGTCGTAATTGGCGTGGAATTTATTATTATATTTTTACTGGAGATTTGCAAAAGAATATTATAAGTTAATGAAGTTTTTCATTGAAAATTCTCTTGTAATCATAGCTTTAGGCGGCTTAATGTATACAGTTAAAAAATAAAAGATAAAACTAAGAAAAGGATAATATGCCTGCACAGCTAGATATCGAGATGTCCAGACAGAATTTGGTAAGATCATGTCAAAAAAAGTCCGGTTCTTTTTCTAAGTACGGCTTTTTTTTTTTTAAACTCTCTCATGAGCACATTTGACGTACATACATGCACTTGACTTTTCTTTTAAGATTTTTTTTTTAAACAAAAAAGAGGAAATTGCACGTGGAATTTTTTTTATTTTTCGTATCGTAAAAGTTTTAGTATCCCGCTCTAACTAAAATTACTAAGAGCATCTTCAATTAATATGTCAATTCGTAACTTTGAACATATAATTAAGGGTAATGTCATTCTTCATGATGATGAAGATCTTGTAATTTTTTCTTCTTCATTATTATTCCGTATTTATTGAGATTTCAGATGAATTTTGTTATCTGAACAATATTGGAGGGTGGATGATCAAACACACAGATTCAGATGCAAAATGATGATTACTCTTGACCAATTAAACTCGGACCAGGAGCGTTAGGACACTTGTCATCATGAACTATTGACAAGTTTCATTCTGTGATTAGTTGCTTGTATAAGTCTGTTAGAGAGTTAGTTGTAATAATTAGTTTAGTGAGCTTGCTAAGAGTACATTAACAGTATAAGGAGCCAACTAATCTTCTAATAAAAACTCTCATTATCAGAAATAAGAAAAATCAAGAGCTAAGCTTCTTCTTCTACAAGTCTCTCTGTAATTCTTTTTTGTTTTCAGAGGCATGCCTGGAATTGGCGGTTGCGTTAGGCGGAGGATGGTTTATCTGGGACGTTTTTGGGTTTTGGGACGTTAAGGGCTTAGATATTCATGCCACCTTATTTTTATGTTCTTATTTGTATTTGTAAACAAAATTATGTTCAGTTATCAACGACAGATATTAAGGGGGAAAAGAAATTCCCATTTGGCTGACCATGGCCTGCCGGTGACAAATCGCACTCATGGCTGCAGAAACCATGCTAACTGTTAATCAATTAATTATGGCTTGAATTCAGGGACTCAAATTTTATAATATATGTCTAGGTTGATTGCTCGTCTTCATGATTTTTTTATTATTATCAAATATCTCCATGATTTTAATTTTGATAAAGTGTTACACATTTAAATTGCATTTAGCAGTTTCACTATAAATAAATAAAAATTTATATTTGGCGGGTTTTTTTTAATAATTAATTGAGGAGGGAGATTTAGACTTTTGAGATTTTTTTTTTCTTCTTCAATACAAAGTGATATTGAGGGAGGAGAGAATCAAATTTAGACCTCGGGTGCATGGGTAAATACTCTTAATTACTTGAGTGTTTTTTTATCATAAACTTAAAAGCTAGTTAGTGCATTTGAGGTTGATATATTGAAAGGTTTATTATTAACATTGTTACTGTACAATTACATGTAGTTTGCTCAAATTCAATCCTCTCCTTGTGCAATTACATGTACCTTTGCACCCCCAAGTATGTTCGAGTTTTTTTGTTTTTTTCTATTTTTGGGTGCAATGGGGGCCGAAGCCCAACAGGAAGAAAAACTAAACGGAGAAGGCCCTGCTCAAGAAAGTCTCCAAGCATCATTAGTGTAGGAAATCAATGTCCAAATCCAAGTTAAAGCCCATCTTGAAAAGTCGATCAGCAACACGCACATACTTTGATTGGAGGAGCAAATATTGTATAAGTTCTTAAAACGCTTTTGACTAGGGCTGCAATTCGGCCGGATCGGATCGGAAACAGCCATTCCAATTTCCGTCCAAAATCTTTCGGAATTCCTTAAACACTTCCGATTCCGATTCCGAAAAATTCCGGAATTTTTCGGAACTTTCCGATTCCGAAGTTTCAAATTCTTCAAAACAAATTCGTATAATATTGTTCCGATTCCGAAAAATTCGGAATTTTTTTGAAACTTTCCGATTCCGAAGTTTCAAATTCTTTAGAACAAATTCATATCAATATTATACGTAACTAACAAAAAAAATAATATTAAGATCCCAATTAGGCTTTCTATCAAGAAGCCCAACTAGGCATTAATTAAGAAACCCAACTAGAGACTTCATAAATACTACTAAATAATGACCTGTCGAGCCCACTTAAGATTGTAGGCTGAACTTGAAGTCTATTCAAGTACTGAATTGGGGTAAAGATATTTATAAAGAAGAAAACATCTGAAGTCTATGTTTTCAATCGATGTGGGATTCCAACAACTCTCAGAAATGGGACTCCAACAACTCCAATAACTTTCATAGAAAAAGAACACCTATGCATCCAAAACCTATGGATGGTATATCAAAACCAACTATCCTTATTTTATGCGTTTTTGGTTTCAGTCTATGATCAAAGCCCTTCTCCGTCAAATAATCAAACAATCCAATCAAATTATATCCAAAACAGTCAAATCTTCTCCTTCAAACATCATCATGCTCTGATCATGTGAATGAAAATTTATTGATTCAGATGCTAAAGATGGATTCACATTCATCAATCAATTGATGCTCAAGTTATAGTCAAGTGACCATCACGTTGGTTTTAGATTCTTGTGGGCATGAACATGTGTAAAGAGTGTTATTGCTCTAGGCAATTGGAATACTACAATTATTAAGATTCACTTAACATACTTATCCTATGCGTTGTATTTCATGTATATATAAAATAATTTTATAATTAAAATTTTAAATGAAGATAGTTTAAAATTTTAAAAATACATACATACATAGAATACAAAATATAATAGTATGATATGATACTCCCTACATTTACCATATTTGTAGTACGTTTGGATATAACAAGCACACATTATGCATATTTGCCAAATATATATTACTATTACTATGTTTAGTATATTACTATATATTACCCATAGTCTTAAAGTTATATACTACTATGTTTAGTATATTTTTTTCCCAAGCCTATGTTTAGTATGTATGAATATTTGTATGTGGGTACTAAAATATAACAAATAAGAAATGAAACATATATAAGACCTATAAACTAAAAATAATACAATTTTAATTAGAAACTCG